CTTCTTCTCATCCATGCAAGACACAACCTCCATAATCTCTTTATCAATTATAAATTGATTGGCATGTTTTTCCACTCTTTCCTTTTGAAGATTCCTGTCTAAAATAAGAGCTAACACATCCAGATTAGACAAATCAAACACTGATATGTCAATGGTTCAATGACATCCACAAAACTCAAAGATGAAATATCACTTGGATATCTCATAGCATCATAAATATTGAAATTTATCACTTCCCCATCAAATTCCATGGACAATGTACCATCATAAACATCAATTTTCATCCTGGCTATTTTCAAAAAGGGTCTTCCTAGGAGAATTGAACTCAAATTTGGTGAGTCATCATCATCCATGTCAAGGACATAAAAATCTGCTGGAAACACTAGTTCATTCACTTGGACTAACACATCTTCTAGCACACCTTTGGGATGTACTAAAGATCTATCAGCCAATTGAATGATTACCCCGGTCTTCTTTAATGTGCCAATATTTAAATTTTAAAGATGGAATATGGAAAAACATTGATAGAAGCTCCAAGGTCTAGCATAGCTAGTGGAACATGAAGATTACCTAATTTTCAAGGAACCGTGAAAACACCCGGATCCTTACATTTTTGAGGTAGTCTTTTTTGTAACACTGCAGACACATTTTCTCCTACTTTGACAGTTTCATTCCCTTTCAGTCTTTTCTTAGATGTGCATAATTCCTTAAGGAATTTAGCATATCTTGGGACTTGTTTGATGGCATCAATAAGAGGAATATTTACCTCAACCTTCCTAAACATCTTCATGATTTCATTGTCTTCCCTTTCACGCTTTGACTTGCTTATTCTTGAGGGAAATGGAGGAGGAGTGACTTTTGCTTCAATAGGAACTTGCTTGGAAGGTGTTTTTGACTTCTCTTCTTCTTTCTCTAGTTCCATCTCTTCTTCTTCTTCAATAATTTTAGGAACTTAATATTCTTTGCCATTCCTCAAAGTGATGGCACATGCACTATGTTTTGGATTCTTCTCGGTTTGCGCGGGTAGTTTGCCTTGTGACTCCAATTTACTCACAGAAGTGGCGAGTTGAGTCATTTGTTGCTCCAAAGTCTTGATGCTCGCTTTGGTTTCATTTTGAAAGGTTTGAGTACTTGTGGCTAAACTCTTAACAATATCTTCCAAAGACATTCTCGATCCGCTTGAACTACTTCCTTGATGCATGTTTTGAGGTTGGTATTGAGATTGATGAGGAGGTTGAGTTGACTGGAAATGTGGTTGATAATTTTGTTGGTGTTGCATTTGATTTTGAAATGGGGGTCTTGGTTGATAAGGTGGTGGTCTTGGCTGAAAATTGGTATTAGGTTGATGCCAATTTTGATTGCTTCTTGGCTGGAAGTTTCCTTGTTGTTGACTTGAAAATCCCATAGCTTGAACTGGTTCTACATCTTCTTGTAACATGGGGAACATATCAGTGGGATGTCCAACTTGTGTACAAATACCACAAGGTCTAACTATTGGTGGTTGCATGCCCTTGTCTTTTGCAAGCATCATCACTACTTTAGTCAACTCAGAAAGTTGACTTTCAATTTTTGGAGTAGAAATTTCTTTCACCCCTCTTGGTGCATCACTGTACCATTCTTCTTCTTGGACTGTATGCTTGGACTCTTCTGTCATGTTCTTGATAAGAACTCTAATTTCTGTTGGAGTCTTATCAGCTATAGATCCGCCACTTGATGCATTAAGTAATCTCCTATCCCAAGATGACATTCCTTCACAAAAATACTGCAACAACTGATATTCGGTAATCCCATGTTGTGGACATTTTGAGCACAATTTCTTGAACCATTCCCAATAAGTACGCAAGGCTTCTCTCTTTTGTTGCTTGATACCAATTATCTATCTGCGTAAAGCTGAAGCTCTCATTTATGGAAAATATTTATCCAGAAACATCCTTGCAAGTTCATTCCATGTTGTGAATGACCTCGGTGGTAAGTCATATAACCACTCCTTGGCTGAATCTTGTAAAGCAAAGGGGAATGCCATTAACTTGATTTGATCTTTTGTAACTTCATGTGGCTGCATACCCACACATACAACATGAAATTCCTTAAGGAATTTATGTGGGTCTTCATTCTCAAGACCACGAAATGAGGGTAACAAATGGATAAGTCCAGACTTGAGTTCAAAGTTGATTGCTGCAGGGTAATTTATGCACAAAGGTTGTTGGGTGACATCTTGAATGGACCATTGTCTAAAGGTTTGTTCAAGTGGTGGATGTGGAGGATTTTGATTTCCTCTGTGGTTGTCTGCCATGGTATGAATAGGTGAAGATGGTGGGGTGACACTTTTGGATGTTGGTGAAGATGGGGTTGATGGATTTGATGAAGAAGCTCCGGATTGTTGTTTCTTTAAAAGTCTGGCTTGCTTCCTTCTTTTTTTACCAGATTTCTTTATCTCCAAATCAAATGGTTAAGGTGTACCTGTGCGATAAGATCTTGGCATAAATAATTAGTACTACCGTATCCCCGGCAACGGCGCCAATTTGTTTGGTTGCCAAACCAACAAATAATGGGATAAAATAATATTATTAAAGCTCAAATCACTGCTATTTCATATGCTAAATATAATATAGAGTAAGCAGGGTCAGTCCATAGGAATACAGGACTTCTTATCTTGCCATATTTTCACACAATATACAAATAATATTAAAATGGGGGATTGTGTTTGAACTTGAATTAAACTTCATAAATAAAACAAGATTGGTAATAAAATACAGTAAAAGAAGTACATTTCTGATTCTGACTCTTATACATGTATTATGTTGAAAGATGTAATACGATTATAACTCATGTTAAATCTAGGTTGGTAAGTTGGATATTAATAGACTCTAATATCCAAATTGGCAAAAGTATTTTATTCAAAACAAGCTCTTCAAATTAAACTTCATTTAATTGATTCAATTCAAATAAGCTCTTGCATAAAATCATTAAATGACATTAAGTTCTTGCATTAATTACCAACAATGTTTAACATTCCTCTTAAGCTTGGTAATATAAACATTTAATCTTTGATTACACTAATTTTGATCTAATTACAACCAAGTAAGTGTGTGTTACTAACATCAAATCATAAAACATATACGAATTTCATGATTTGATTAACTAGATTGACTAGAACCCTACTTCATTGATCAAGTGAAAAAGAGAACCAACCAAACACATGATTAAGATCAAATCAAAGATTACTAGATGTTAAACTCAAGTGAAATTCAAGTTACAACCTAACAACAAATACTTAAGAATTCAGATTCGGAAATGATAATGAAATCAACCACACATGTCTAGGTTGAACTACAAATCAAACAAGTTTAAACTTCAAATTGACTTACAAAAAGGAAATTAAAGTGTTTCCAAGTGTTAATCTACTTGCAAAAGCTCTAAAAATCATCTCCTCTCTGCCCAAAATCCGACCTAACTCCCCACAAAACCGATTGTCTGAATTATAAGAGGATAAAACCACTTTAAAACTGTCGAGACGTTTACACGACCCGTGTAAATTAAAGGGTGCCATTTACATGGCCGTGTAAACAAGAAAAGTAGAATGCTTAATTCTTCCAGGTCTTCGAAGTAGAATGCCCTTGTGTATACGTTTACACGGCCCGTGTAAATTATAAGCTATCATTTACACGGCCGTGTAAACTCCTGAGAAGCCAAATTCTTTATTTCTTCATTCTATGTTTTTTTCAATGCTCCGAAACTTCTGAAACTTTGTCTCCAACTCTTTTTAACTTCCTCCATCAAGATCCAACCTTCAAAAGTACCTGAAATATCATAAAAAGTGTGTGAATGGAATTGCATCATTAAAAATCCCGAAGAATATGCAAAATGCATGAGTTTAAACCTAAATGCAATGCACTTTTATGAACTAAATCTACAAAAATGAATGCATGAAAATGCATCGAACAATAAACTACAATTTTTAGATAAACTACAATTGTTAGAAACGAAAATTACAAGAAATGTTCAAGTAGGGAATTTCCAAATACATTACCTAATTATTGCACTTATGGATTTCCTGTACCATGCCTAAAATTATAAACTACAACTGTTACATAAACTACAATTATTAGAAATGAAAATTACAAGAAATGTTCAAATAGGGAATTTCTAAATACATCACATAATTATTGCACTGATGGATTTCCTGTGCCATGCCTATATTTGCATACGTTCACATTCAATGCAATTTTCATTTATGGTTCTCGTATTTGTATATATGTTTATAACTTACCTTTAACCTTTTAGATTTTGTTTTCAACTTTTTGTTATTTTAATATTCTAAAACAACTATACATATTTATTCATGTGAAAGGTCGAATTAAAATACTAGTAGATCACTTCTACTCTAAAAAATGAAACTCTTTTTGCTACATGCCAGACTCTCAATAAATTTATGAAAGACAAAACTTCAAAAATGGTCCCTGTGGTTTCTGAAAATATTAAGTTTAATCCCTAAGTTCAAAAAACCTCACAGATGGTCCCTGTGGTTTCAAAACTTTTAACAAATGGTGCTTCCGCCTAACTCCATCAGCTTTCTACCGTTAAGTGAGGGGCATTTTCATCATTTCAATACACAGGGACCATTTATGAGGTTTTCTCTATTTAAAAAAAATATATAATTATTTAATTAAAGGGTCTCTCTCTCTCTCTCTCTTATATGTCCATGTTCGTCCTAGAAAATCCAGATGCTTTCTCAGTTTCTCTCTTTATACAAATAAACACTTGTCATATGTATCCATCTTTGACATGTGATAAGATCGACCATATGAGCACAAATGAGTAAATCAGTTACCACCATTCCTCCGGAAGATTATGGAGACATGTAAACCAGCAAATTAAGGTTTGAGATCCTTCAAATCGATGGAAGAAATGGAAACCTGCATATCGATGGAAGGTCCATATGGAATGTTCAGTAATAAAATTACACGACGTTCAAATTTCAACTTCGAATTCTTCTCAAATTATGACCTTTCTGGAATGTTCTTGATGCAACTCCATGTGGGATATGATCTAATCGAGACACCAATGAGATATAATTTGGATCCAAGCTGTAATTGGTCTGCAAGTTCTTGAATATCTGACGATTCACTCTTTAACAAACACTTTGGATTTGGGTCGCTATCTCCATATCCAGCTCTATCGAATTGTACAAGATAAATCCCCAATTCATCCATTAGTTTATGAAATTTACGACATCTGGGTATAAATTTCGATACAAAAACTGTTAAAAATACACACAGATCTACATTCTACACACACAATATTGAAAACGAAAAGGGGTTGATCAATATGTACTTGGGTAGCCATGAAGTTCATATCTTTTTTGCTAGTGAATCCATGTACAATAACGACTCTGTAAGTCAATTCATTCTTCGGGACTCCTCGTTCTTTGTAAGCTAAGTATCTTCCATCACTTAGTTTGATTCTACCTGATGAAGAAGAGGATGACTTTTCGTTTTTTGGATCAATTGAATCGATAATATCTGATGAAGTAGGTGAATCACACTCTGAAGTTACTGGTCTTGTTGGTTGATCTGATATTCGCAAACACCTCATTCCTAAACAACCCATCATCAAACCCACAACTCTCTTCAACACCATTTCTGAAAAAAGATCGAAGCTTTATAATACCCATATCATCATATGTCTATATCCATTCCAATAAAGAATTCAAAAGCGTAAATTACAAGACTTCTGAGTTTTAGATTTTGGATTTTAGGGTTTTCCTTAGTGAAAGAGAAAGGATCTTCATATGGGTTGTTGATGACGGATGCAGCAATCAAATTGACACGCTTGATTTGATAAAACGAATTGGAAAAATACACACACAAACACACACAATTTACGTGGATATGTACAGCTGAGACTGGTGATGCTTTTTGTCGTAAAGTTTCAGTTTTTATAGTTAATTTCTTGCCTGAGTTAAACTCGAAATGGTCAAGAGCCAGCACATGGCGATTCTGAAGGCATATTCTATTCGAAAATGGTGGATATTCAAATTGAATGATATGCGAATAATGATTGCTTTCAGAAGAGGGTGATCTAAAATGAGTTGGAGCAAGTATTTATGTCTTTGGAGAGAGAGAGAGAGAGAGAGAGAGAGAGAGAGAAGGGTGGGACCCTTTAATATTAAATAATTATAAATTTTTTCTTTTTTTTAAAAAATAAGGTAAAACTTCATAAATGGTCCGTGTGGAAGTGAAATGACAGAATTGCCCTTCACTTAACGGATAAAAGCTAACAGAGTTAGCGAAAAGGACCAAATGTTAAAAGTTCTAAAACCACAAGGACCATCTGTGAGGTTTTTTGAACATAGGGACTAAACTTGATATTTTCGGAAACCACACGGACCATTTTTTAAGTTTTGTCTTTATGAAATGTCATTTTATGGTTATTTTGAAATAATTTTTTTCCACATGTCATTTTATGAGTTATTTTATTTTATTAAATTCACATAATATTTTAGTGTAATAATTGCAATAAATGTAGCAATAAATGGATATCAATTTTATTAATGAACTTAGAGTAAATTACTAAAATCATCCCTATGGTTCGGTTAAATTTTTACGTTTGGTCCCTAACTTTTTTTGCACCCGAAATGTCCCTATGGTTTGATTTCGTTGCGTTTTTCGTCCCTATGGTTTGGTCAAAATTGTAAGTTTGATCCCTAATTTTATGTACGTAAGGGACACACAACACTACAAAATAAAACCACAGGGACGATCAGAGTGAAAAATAAAAGTTGAGGACCAAACGTCAAATTTTCACTAAACCATAGGGACTATTTCGGTAATTTACTCATGAAAGTTACCATTTTATTTCAAAATTTCAAAACTAAAGTTCATTAGTTTCTTTTGTTTATTTATTTAAATTATTTGCTTAAATTTAAAAGATAAAAAACATTTCTATTATCATAATTTATTATTTTTCTAATTTTGTTCAAAATTCAAAAAGTTCTCGAATACTTAAACTTTTATATGCATGCACGCCCCCCGAAAAGTAAATCATGATCAGATCAGGCACCGCCGTCGTCCTCCGGCGGTGGTGATTGGTTAAGATCCGGGAGTTTGAACCACTTAGACGGCTCTCGTTCTCCATCATCGCATTGCCCAGAAGCAAAGTTGGCAGAAAGCGCCCTGGCAATATCCCTACTCGCGGGTAGTCTCTCCTCATGTGTGTGCCACCACATTTGGCCACACGACGCCTTTTCGTGATATATGTCTTTCTTGCGAATCGGGCAGATCATCGGCCTTCTTCGCAGTACCTAGTTATGATAATTTTGAATTAATTTTTTTTCCACATGTCATTTTATTAGTTTTTCTATTTTATTAAATTCACATATTATTTTAATATAATAATTACAGTAACTGTAGTAATAAATGGATATCAATTTCTGTATCTAACTTACATTTTAATTTCAAAATTTCAAAATTAAAGTTCATTAGTTTCTTATGTATATATTTATTTAAATTAGTTGTTTAAATTTAAAAGATAAAAAACATTCCGATTATAATAATTCATTATTTTTCTTATTTTCTTCAAAATTCCAAAATCTAAAGTATTTTAACCTTTATATATATATATATATATATATATATATATATATATATATATATATATATATATATATATATATATATATATATATCAATTAACCCATGTAGTACATGGGTCTCACAACCAGTGTTATATGTAATCCCGATTAAAAATTAGGTAAAGCCATGGTTTTAAAAATCGTTCAAGGTCAGGAAGTGATTACACATATATGAGATGGACACCTAGGGGGATTTGGGTCCAAGTATATATAATAAATTATTTTAATTTTTTCGAACTATATAAATTTTATAGTTCAAACTTTTATATTTTTTATTTTCATTTATTTTACCAAATTTGGACTTTTTAAAAAATATATATTGTTAGTATTCTAACTAATATTTGCAAGTTGTTACATAAACTATAATTGTTAGAAACGAAAATTAAAAGAAATGTTCAAGTAGGGAATTTCCAAATACATCATCTAATTATTGCACTGATGGATTTCCTGTGCCATGCATATATTTGCATACGTTCCCATTCAATGCAATTTTCATTTATGGTCCTCCTGTTTCTATATATGTTTTATAACTTACCTATAACCTTTTAGATTTTGTTTTCAACATCTTGTTATTTTAATATTCTAAAACAACTATACACATTTATGCATATGAAAGGTGGAATTCAAATACTAATATATCACTTTTACTTCTACTCTAATAAATGAAACTCTTTTTTTCCACATATAAGACTCTCAATAAATTTATGAAATGTCATTTTATGGTTATTTGGAAATAAAACATTTTCCACATGCCATTTTATGAGTTATTCTCTTTTATTAAACTCACATAATATTTTAGTATAACAATTGCAATAAATGTATCAATAAATGCATATCAATTTCATTAATGAACTTAGAGTAAATTACTGAAATCGTCCCTATGGTTCAGTGAAAATTTTACGTTTGGTCCCTAATTTTTTTTTTTGCACTCGGAAAGTCCCTATGATTTGATTTCGTTGCGTTTTTCGTCCCTATGGTTTGGTGAAAATTGCACGTTTGATCCCTAATTTATGAAATGTCATTTTATGGTTATTTTGAAATAATTTTTTTTTCCACATGTTATTTTATGAGTTATTCTCATTTATTAAATTCACATAATATTTTAGTATAATAATTACAACAAATGTAGCAATAAATGGATATCAATTTCATTGATGAACTTAGAGTAAATTACTGAAATCGTCCCTTTGGTTTAGTAAAAATTTTACGTTTGGTCCATAACTTTTTTTTTGCACTTGGAACGTCCCTATGGTTTGATTTCGTTGTGTTTTTCGTCCCTATGGTTTGGTCAAAATTGCACGTTTGATACCTAATTTTATGTATGTAAGGGACACAAAACACAACAAAATCAAACCACAGGGATGATCATAGTGCAAAAGAAAAGTTGAGGACCAAACGTCAAATTTTCACCAAACCATAGGGACTATTTCAGTAATTCACTAATGAAACTTTCCTTTTTAGTTCAAAATTTTCAAACTAAAGTTCATTAGTTTCTTTTGTTTATTTATTTAAATTATTTGCTTAAGTTTAAAAGATAAAAAAAAGATTTCAATTATAATAATTTATTATTTTTCTTATTTTCTTCAAAATTCAAAAAGTTCTCAAATACTTAAACCTTTATATGCATGCACGCACCCCGAAAAGTAAATCATCATCAGATTAGGCATCGTCGTCTTCCTCCAGCGGTGGTGGTTGGTTAAGATCCAGGAGCTTGAACCGCTTAGACGACCCTTATTCTCCATCACCGAGTTGCCCAGAAGCAAAGTTGGTAGAAAGCGCCCGGGCAATATCCCTACTTGCCGATAGTCTCTACTCGTGTGTGTGCCACCGGATGTGGCCACGCAATGCCTTTTCGTGATCCATGTCTTTCTTGCAAATCGGGCAGATCACCGGCTTTCTTGCAGCACCTAGTTATGATTATTTTAATTTAATTTTTTTCCACATGTCATTTTATGAGTTTTTCTATTTTATTAAATTCACATATTATTTTAATATAATAATTACAGTAACTGTAGTAATAAATGGATATCAATTTCTGTAACTAAATTACATTTTAATTTCAAAATTTCAAAATTAAAGTTCATTAGTTTCTTCTCTATATATTTATTTAAATTAGTTGTTTAAATTTAAAAGATAAAAAACATTCCGATTATAATAATTCATTATTTTTCTTATTTTCTTCAAAATTCCAAAATCTTAAATATTTTAACCTTATATATATATATATATATATATATATATATATATATATATATATATATATATATATATATATATATATATATCAATTAACCCATGTAGTACATGAGTCTCACATATATGAGATTAAACAAATATGAGATAGACACCTAGGGGAATTTGGGTCCAAGTATATATAATAAATTATTTTAATTTTTTCCAACTGTATAAATTTTATAGTTCAAACTTTTGTATTCTTTATTTTCATTTATTTTACAAAATTTGAACTTTTTTAAATAAAATATTGTTAGTATTCTAACTAATATTTGCAAGCTGTTACATAAACTACAATTGTTAGAAATGAAAATTACAAGAAATGTTCAAGTAGGGAATTTCCAAATACATCATCTAATTATTGCACTGATGGATATCCTATGCCATGCGTATATTTGCATACGTTCCCATTCAATGCAATTTTCATTTATGGTCCTCCTGTTTGTATATATATGTTTTATAACTTACCTATAACCTTTTAGATTTTGTTTTCAACTTCTTGTTATTTTAATATTCTAAAACAACTATACACATTTATGCATATGAGCATATGAAAGGTGGAATTCAAATACTAGTATATCACTTCTACTCTAATAAATGAAACTCTTTTTTCCCACATATCAGACACTCAATAAATTTATGAAATGTCATTTTATAATTATTTTGAAATAATTTTTTTTCAACATGTCATTTTACGAGTTATTCTCTTTTATTAAATTCACATAATATGTTAGTACAATAATTGCAATAAATGCAGCAATAAATGGATATCAAT